CTACTACTAATAATAATTCCATGCAAATTTCATGAAGATGCCCATAAAAAGACATATAATAATACTAATAACACTAATAGTAGTAATAATACTAATAGTAGTAATAATACTAATAGTAGTAATAATACTAATAGTAGTAATAATGATAATGATGATGATGATAATAATAATAATAATAATTCCTCCTTCACGCGCCGCCCCTTATTCAAATCCCATGCAAATCCCGCGACCAGGCGCCCACCTCTTTTCCCCTGCGCTACGCGTTCCTGCAGGGCGGCGCGGAAGGGCGCCACCCCGGTGCCGGGCGCCACCAGGACGACGGGGGTCCGGGGGTCCGGCGGGAAGCGTAGCGCCCCCTTCTTCACCCAGAGGGGGACGTGGGCGGCGCCTGGGGGGAGAAACGTAGCGCGGGGTCAGGTTTGGGAAACGTAGCGCGGGCGCCCAGCGATGGGCGGGTGCTGTGGGAAAGGTAGCGCGGGCGTCAGGTTTGGGAAAGGTAGCGCGGGCGTCAGGTTTGGGAACCGTAGCGCGGAGTCAGGTTTGGGAAACGTAGCGCGGGGTCAGGTTTGGGAAACGTAGCGCGGGCGCCCAGCGATGGGCGGGTGCTGTGGGAAAGGTAGCGCGGGCGTCAGGTTTGGGAAAGGTAGCGCGGGCGTCAGGTTTGGGAACCGTAGCGCGGAGTCAGGTTTGGGAAACGTAGCGCGGCGTCAGGTTTGGGAAACGTAGCGCGGCGTCAGGTTTGGGAAACGTAGTGCTACTATGGGAAACATAGCGTGGGCGTCAGGTTTGGGAAACGTAGAGCGGGCGTCAGGTTTGGGAAACGTAGAGCGGGCGTCAGGTTCGGGAAACGTAGCGCGGGCGTCAGGTTCGGGAAACGTAGCGCGGGCGTCAGGTTCGGGAAACGTAGTGCTACTATGGGAAACATAGCGTGGGCGTCAGGTTTGGGGAACGTAGCGCGGCGTCAGGTTTGGGAAACGTAGAGCGGGCGTCAGGTTTGGGAAACGTAGTGTGGGCGTCAGGTTTGGGAAACGTAGCGCGACGTCAGGTTTGGGAAACGTAGTGTGGGCGTCAGGTTTGGGAAACGTAGCGCGACGCCAGGTTTCGGAAACGTAGCGCGGCGTCAGGTTTGGGAAACGTAGCGCGACGTCAGGTTCGGGAAACGTAGCGCGGGCGCCCGGCGATGGGTGGGTGCTATGGGAAACGTAGCGCGGGTGCCTAGCGTTGCCTAGCTACTATGGGAAATGTGCCTGGGTATTATGGGAAACGTAGCGCGGGCGCCCGGCGATGGGTGGGTACGATGGGAAATGTAGCGCGGGCGTCAGGTTAGGGAAACGTAGCGCGGACGTCAGGTTTGGGAAACATAGCGCGGGCGTCAGGCTTGGGAAATGTAGCGTGGGCGCCTAATGATGGCTGGCTACTATGGGAAACGTAGCGCGGGCGTCAGGTTTGGGAAACGTAGCGCGGGCGTCAGGTTTGGGAAATGTAGCGCGGGCGTCTAGCGCTGCCTGGGTACTATGGGGAATGTGCTTTGGTACTATGGGAAACGTAGCGCGGGCGCCTGTTGATGGGTAGGTGCTAAGGGAAACGTAGCGCGGCATCAGGTTTGAGAAATGTAGCGCGGGCGCCTAGTGATGGGTGGGTACTATGGGAAACGTAGCACGGGCGCCTAGTGATGGGTAGGTACTATGGGAAACGTAGCGCAGCGTCAAGTTTGGGAAATGTAGCGCGGGCGCCTAGTGATAGGTAGGTACTATGGGAAACGTAGCGCAGGCGTCAGGTTTGGGAAACGTAGCGCGGGCGTCAGGTTTGGGAAACGTAGCGCGGGCGTCAGGTTCGGGAAACGTAGCGTGGGCGTCAGGTTTGGGAAACGCAGCGCGGGCGTCAGGTTCGGGAAACGTAGCGCGGCGTCAGGTTTGGGAAACGTAGCACGGCCGTCTAGTGCTGGCTGGGTACTATGGGAAACGTAGCACGGGCGCCTAGTGATGGCTGGGTACTATGGGAAACGTAGCGCGGGCGCCTGTTGATGGGTAGGTACTATGGGAAACGTAGCGCGGGCGCCAGGTTTGGGAAATGCAGCACGGCCGTCTAGTGATGGCTGGCTACTATGGGAAACGTAGCGTGGGAGTCAGGTCTGGGCGCGGGAAACGTAGCGCGGGCGCCCGGCGATGGCTGGCTACTATGGGAAACCTAGCGTGGGTGTCAGGTTTGGTAAACGTAGCGCGGGCGCCCGGTTATGGGGGGGTACTATGGGAAACGTAGCGTGGGCGTCAGGTCTGGGCGCCAGAAACGTAGCGCGGGCGCCCGTCAATGGCTGGCTGCTATGGGAAATGTAGGGCGGGCGTCTAGTGATGGGTGTCAGGTTTGGGAAATGTAGCGCGGGCGCCTGGTGATGGCTGGGTACTATGGGAAACGCAGCGCGGGCGTCAGGTTTGGGAAACGTAGCGCGGGTGCCCGGCCATGGGTGGGTACTGTGGCACTACCTAGGTACTATGGGAAACGTAGCGTGGGCGTCAGGTTTGGGAAACGTAGCGCGGGCGCCTAGTGATGGCTGGCTACTATGGGAAACGTAGCGCGGGCGCCTAGTGAGAAACATAGCGCAGTCACCCAGGAGAAACGTAGTACAGGCGCCCATCACATTGACAGGAGAAACATAGCGCAGGCGTCCAGGAGAAAGGTAGCGCGGGCGCCCAGCAGTGACAGGAGAAACATAGCGCGGGCGCCCAGCACATTGACAGGAGAAACGTAGCACAGGCGCCCAGCATGTCGATAAGAGAAACGTAGCGCGGGCGTCCAGGAGAAACATAGTGCGGGCGCCGAGCACATTGACAAGAGAAACGTAGCGTGGGCGCCCAGCACATTGACAGGAGAAACGTAGCGCGGGCGCCCAGGAGAAACATAGTGCGGGCGCCGAGCACATTGACAAGAGAAACGTAGCGTGGGCGCCCAGCACATTGACAGGAGAAACATAGCGCGGGCGTCCAGCACATTGACAGTGGAAACATAACGTGGGCGCCCCGGAGAAACGTAGCGCGGGCGCCCAGCCCATTGACAGGAAAAACGTAGCGCGGGCGCCCAGGAGAAACATAGTACAGGCGCCCATCACATTGACAGGAGAAACATAGCGCAGGCGCCCAGGAGAAAGGTAGCGCGGGCGCCCAGACGTGACAGGAGAAACATAGCGCGGGCGCCCAGCACATTGACAGGAGAAACGCAGCGCGGGCGCCCAGCACATTGACAAGAGAAACGTAGCGCAGGCGCCCATGAGAAACATAGTGAGGGCGCCGAGCACATTGACAAGAGAAACGTAGCGTGGGCGCCCAGCACATTGACAGGAGAAACGTAGCGCGGGCGCCCAGGAGAAACGTAGCGCGGGCATCCAACACATTGACAGGAGAAACATAGCGCGGGCGCCCAGGAGAAACGTAGCACGGTGTCAGACTAGGCACTTTGAGGGCCCCTAGAAAAAGAAACATAGCGCAGGCGCCCACCACGTTGATAGGAGAAACATAGTGTGGGCGCCCAGGAGAAACACAGCGCAGGCGCCGAACACACTGACAGGAGAAACGTAGCACGGGCGCCCAGCACATTGACAGGAGAAACGTAGCACGGGCGCCCAGCACATTGACAGGAGAAACGTAGCACGGGCGCCCAGCATGTTGACAAGAGAAACGTAGCGCAGGTGCCCAGCACATTGAAAAGAGAAACATAGCGCGGGCGCCCAGGAGAAACATAGCGTGGGCGCCCAGCACATTGACAGGAGAAACGCAGCACGGGCACCCAGCACATTGACAGGAGAAACGTAGCGCAGGAGCCCAGGAGAAACGTAGCGTGGGCGCCATGGAGAAACGTAGCGTAGGCGCCCAGCACATTGACAGGAGAAACGTAGCATGGGCGCCCAGGAGAAACATAGTGCGGGCGCCCAGCACATTGACAAGAGAAACGTAGTGCAGGCATCCTTCACATTGACAGGAGAAACATAGCGCGGGCGCCCAGGAGAAACGTAGCGCGGGCGCCCAGCACATTGACAGGAGAAACGTAGCGCAGGCGCCCAGGAGAAACGTAGCGTGGGCGCCATGGAGAAACGTAGCGCAGGCGCCCAGGAGAAACGTAGCGTGGGCGCCATGGAGAAACGTAGCGCGGGCGCCCAGCACATTGACAGGAGAAACGTAGCGCAGGCGCCCAGTCCATTGACAAGAGAAACGTAGCGTGGGCGCCCAGCACATTGACAGGAGAAACGTAGCGCGGTCGCCCAGGAGAAACGTAGTGCAGGCATCCTTCACATTGACAGGAGAAACATAGCGCGGGCGCCCAGGAGAAACGTAGCGCGGGCGCCCAGGAGAAACGTAGCGCGGGCGCGCAGCACATTGACAGGAGAAACGTAGCGCAGGCGCCCAGTCCATTGACAGGAGAAACGTAGCGTGGGCGCCCAGGAAACAGCGTGGGCGCCCAGGAGAAACATAGCATGGGCGCCCAGGAGAAACATAGCGTGGGCGCCCGGGAGAAACATAGCGCGGGCGCCCAGGAGAAACATAGCATGGGCGCCCAGGAGAAACGTAGCGCGGGCGCCCAGCACATTGACAGGAGAAACGTAGCGCAGGCGCCCAGTCCATTGACAGGAGAAACGTAGCGTGGGCGCCCAGGAAACAGCGTGGGCGCCCAGGAGAAACATAGCGTGGGCGCCCGGGAGAAACATAGCATGGGCGCCCAGGAGAAACGTAGCACGGGCGCCCAGCACATTGACAGGAGAAACGTAGCACGGGCGCCCGTCACGTTGACAAGAGAAACGTAGTGCGGGCACCCAGGAGAAACGTAGCGCAGGCGCCCACCACATTGACAGGAGAAACATAGCGCGGGCGCCCAGCCCATTGACAGGAGAAACATAGCGCGGGCGCCCAGGAGAAACGTAGCGTGGGCACCGAAGAGAAACATGGCGTGGGCGCCCAGGAGAAAGATAGCGTGGGCGCCCAGGAGTAACGTAGCGCGGGCGCCCAGGAGAAACGTAGCGCGCGCTACAACTCACCCTGCGCCGGGTCGAGGGAGGCCAGCCAATTGGAGCAGAGCCCGGTCCGGGCCTTCGCCAGGCGCGTCTTGTAGCGCACGACGGCCACCAGGATCTGGATGCGGCCGGGCAGCGCCTGGCGGGAGAAGCGGGAGTTATAGTACGGGAATTGTAGTACGGGGAAACTAGAACTCCCGCGCTAGAACTCACCAGCGGGGAGGAGGCCAGGGAGAAGGCCCGGGCGCGGGTGCGAGGGAGCAGGTCCAGGAGGAGGCGGCAGGGGATGGCCGACGCCGTCCGGGGGAAGTCGCTCAGGACCTGGCGCCGGGAGAGAAAAGGGAGTTGTAGCGCAGGCGGGCGCCGGGTTGGAGACCAGAAGGAAGCAGGCGCTGGGAAGTAGGGGCTGGGAATTGTAGCGCTGGGAAACGTGGCGCTGGGAAACGTGGCGCCGTCCGGGGGAAGTCGCTCAGGACCTGGCGCCGGGAGAGAGGAAAGGGAGTTGTAGCGCAGGCGGGCGCCGGTTTGGAGACCGGAAGGAAGTAGGTCTGGGAACTGTAGCGCCGGGAGGCTGGTGGTGGGAACTAGGCGCTGGGAACCGGGCGCTGGGAACCGTGGCACTGGGAAGTGTAGCACCCAAAACCAGGCGCCGTCCGGGGGAAGTCGCTCAGGACCTGGCGCCGGGAGAGAGGAAAGGGAGTTGTAGCGCAGGCGGGCGCCGGGTTGGAGACCAGAAGGAAGCAGGCGCTGGGAAGTAGGGGCTGGGAACTGTAGCGCCGGGAAGGTGGCGCTGGGAAACGTAGCGCTGGGAAGCTGGTGCTGGGAACTAGGTGCTGGGAACTGTAGCGCTGGGAACTAGGTGCTGGGAACTAGGTGCTGGGAACTGTAGCGCTGGGAAGCTGGTGCTGGGAACTAGGTGCTGGGAACTGTAGCGCTGGGAAGCTGGTGCTGGGAACTAGGTGCTGGGAATTGTAGCGCTGGGAAGCTGGTGCTGGGAACTGTAGCGCTGGGAAGCTGGTGCTGGGAACTAGGCGCTGGGAAACGTGGCGCTGAGAACCAGGCGCTGGGAACTGTAGAGCTGGGAACCAGGCGCTGGGAACCGTGGCACTGGGGAGTGTAGTACCCAAGACCAGGCGCTGGGAACCGTGGCACTGGGGAGTGTAGTACCCAAGACCAGGCGCTGGGAACCGTGGCACTGGTAAGTGTAGCACCCAAAACCAGGCGCTGGGAACTGTGGCGCTCAAAACCAGGCGCTGGGAACTATGGCGCTGGGAACTGTGGTTCTGGGAACTGTGGCACTGGGAAACGTGGCGCCCAAAACCAGGCGCTGGGAACCACAGCACTCGAAACCAGGCGCTGGGAAGCGTGGCACTCAAAACCAGGCGCTGGGAAGCGTGGCACTCAAAACCAGGCGCTGGGAACCACAGCACTCGAAACCAGGCGCTGGGAAGCGTGGCGACGCAAACCAGGCGCTGGGAACCGTGGCACCCAAAACAAGGCACTGGGAACCGTAGCGCGGGGAAGCGTGGCGCTCGAAACCAGGCCCTGGAAACTGTGGCCCTGGCCCCCCCGCACCCTGCGCGCTACAATTCCCGCAATCCCACCCACCTCCACCTTTGTCTGCTGGCACTGGGAACCGTAGCACCGGGAACCGTAGCGCCCCAAACCCACCCTGAAAACCATGCCCTGGGAACCCGGCCCCCCGCACCCGGCGCGCTACAACTCCCACAATACCACCCACCTCCAGTCGTACAGCGCACTGGGAACCGTAGCACCGGGAACCGTAGCGCCCAAACCAACCCTGAAAACCAGGCACCCCGCACCCTGCACGCTACAACTCCCGGATCTGACCCACCTCCAGCGTCGTCCGGCGCACCGGGAACCGTAGCGCCGGGAACCGTAGCGCCCAAACCCACCCTGGGAACCCGGCCCCCTGCACCCGGCGCGCTACAATTCCCACAATCCCACCCACCTCCAGTCGTACAGCGCACTGGGAACCGTAGCACCGGGAACCGTAGCGCCCAAAACCCACCCTGAAAACCTGGCACCCCGCACCCTGCGCGCTACAATTCCCACAATCCCACCCACCTCCAGTCGTACAGCGCACTGGGAACCGTAGCACCGGGAACTGTAGCGCCCGGCACCCAGCGCGCTACAACTCCCGGATCTGACCCACCTCAGCGTCGCCCGGCGCACCGGGAACCGTAGCGCCCGGCACCCAGCGCGCTACAACTCCCGGACCGGACCCACCTCCAGCGTCGTCCGGCGCACCGGGAACCGTAGCACCGGGAACTGTAGCGCCCGGCACCCCGGGCGCTACAACTCCCAGATCTGACCCACCTCAGCGTCGTCCAGCGTACCGGGAACCGTAGCACCGGGAACCGTAGCGCCCAGCACCCCGCGCGCTACAACTCCCGGATCTGACCCACCTCAGCGTCGTCCGGCGCACCGGGAACCGTAGCACCGGGAACCATAGCGCCCGAAACCCACCCTGAAAACCATGCCCTGGGAACCCGGCCCCCCGCACCCTGCGCGCTACAACTCCCGGATCTGACCCACCTCCAGCGCACTGGGAACCGTAGCACCGGGAACTGTAGCGCCCGGCACCCGGCGCGCTACAACTCCCGGATCTCACCCACCTCCAGTCGTAAAGCGCACCGGGAACCGTAGCGCCCGGCACCCCGCGCGCTACAACTCCCAGATCGGACCCACCTCCAGCGTCGTCCGGCGCACCGGGAACCGTAGCACCGGGAACTGTAGCGCCCGGCACCCGGCGCGCTACAACTCCCGGATCTCACCCACCTCCAGCGTCGTCCGGCGCACCGGGAACCGTAGCTCCGGGAACCATAGCGCCCGAAACCCACCCTGAAAACCAGGCCCTGGGAACATGGCCACCCGCACCCTGCGCGCTACAACTCCCGGATCTCACCCACCTCCAGCGTCGTCCGGCGCACCGGGAACCGTAGCACCGGGAACTGTAGCGCCCGGCACCCCGCGTGCTACAACTCCCGGATCTGACCCACCTCAAGCATCGTCCGGCGCACCGGGAACCGTAGCGCCCGGCACCCCGCGCGCTACAACTCCCAGATCGGACCCACCTCCAGCGTCGTGCGGCGCGGCCGATGGCAGTAGGCGTAGAGTTCCTCCTGACCGGGCGCCGAGGCGAACTCAGCCAGCTTCTCCCGTTCGCGCTGGTCGGGCGAGAGCAGGGCGGCGAGTTCGAAGAAGGAGCGCCTGGGAGTTCTAGTGATGTCCAGGTGCTTTTCCACCAGGCGCCCGACGGTGCAGGGCTGGGGGAGCGGGAATTGTAGCGCGGCGCCTGGTGGGGGGAGAGATTGAGAGGTTTTGATCGGGTTCGAGGGATTTGTGAAGTTTTTGCGAAGGCGCTGGGAGTTGTAGCGCGGGGAACCCGGCGCCGGGAACTGTAGCGCAGGGAAGCAGGGGTTGGAAAGCAGGCGCTGGGAACCGCAGCGCTGGGAAACGTAGCGCTCGAAACCGGGCGCTGGGAACCGTGGCACCAGGACCCAGGCGCTGGGAACCATAGCACTGGGAAATGTAGCGCTCGAAACCAGGTGCTGGGAACCAGGCGCTGGGAATCAGATACTGGGAACCAGGCACTGGGAACTAGGCGCTGGGAACCATAGCACTGGGAAATGTAGCGCTCAAAACCATATACTGGGAACCAGGCGCTGGGAATCAGATACTAGGAACCAGGCACTGGGAACAAGGCGCTGGGAACCATAGCACTGGGAAATGTAGCGCTCAAAACCAGATACTGGGAACCAGGCGCTGGGAATCAGATACTAGGAACCAGGCACTGGGAACTAGGCGCTGGGAACCATAGCACTGGGGAATGTAGCGCTCAAAACCATATACTGGGAACCAGGCGCTGGGAACCATAGCACTGGGGAATGTAGCGCTCAAAACCAGATACTGGGAATCAGATACTGGGAACCAGGCACTGGGAACTAGGCGCTGGGAACCATAGCACTGGGAAATGTAGCGCTCAAAACCATATACTGGGAACCAGGCGCTGGGAATCAGATACTGGGAACCAGGCACTGGGAACTAGGCGCTGGGAACCATAGCACTGGGAAATGTAGCGCTCAAAGCAATATACTGGGAACCAGGCGCTGGGAACCATAGCACTGGGGAATGTAGCGCTCAAAACCAGATACTGGGAACTAGGCGCTGGGAACCATAGCACTGGGAAATGTAGCGCTCGAAACCAGGTGCTGGGAACCAGGCGCTGGGAATCAGATACTGGGAACCAGGCACTGGGAACTAGGCGCTGGGAACCATAGCACTGGGAAATGTAGCGCTCAAAACCAGGTGCTGGGAATCAGATACTGGGAACCAGGCACTGGGAACTAGGCGCTGGGAACCATAGCACTGGGAAATGTAGCACTCAAAACCAGATACTGGGAACCAGGCGCTGGGAATCAGATACTAGGAACCAGGCACTGGGAACTAGGCGCTGGGAACCATAGCACTGGGAAATGTAGCGCTCAAAACCAGATACTGGGAACCAGGCGCTGGGAACCATAGCACTGGGGAATGTAGCGCTCAAAACCAGATACTGGGAACTAGGCGCTGGGAACCATAGCACTGGGAAATGTAGCGCTCGAAACCAGGTGCTGGGAACCAGGCGCTGGGAATCAGATACTAGGAACCAGGCACTGGGAACTAGGCGCTGGGAACCATAGCACTGGGAAATGTAGCGCTCAAAACCAGATACTGGGAATCAGATACTGGGAACCAGGCACTGGGAACTAGGCGCTGGGAACCATAGCACTGGGAAATGTAGCGCTCAAAACCATATACTGGGAACCAGGCGCTGGGAACCATAGCACTGGGGAATGTAGCGCTCAAAACCAGATACTGGGAACTAGGCGCTGGGAACCATAGCACTGGGAAATGTAGCGCTCGAAACCAGGTGCTGGGAACCAGGCGCTGGGAATCAGATACTGGGAAATGTATCGCTCCAAACCAGGTGCTGGAAAC